CTAACAAGCACAACATATACAGACTGTATATAAAAGATGACAAAGAAAGCAGCCCATTTTCTATAAAGTTGTTGCAGTGGCCCAAGTTCAAATCTGCCTCTGTCTCTTCTGCCCTGTGTTCTTTCTCAGCTTTCCTGTCTTCTTCAGTAAAAGCTAAAAATCTCCTCAAAAATACATTTTAAATTATGGGAAAGCAACTACACAAAAAAGCCCCAAATGTATATTTTAAGTATTTTGATTACATGTAACGTTTTGATATAAGTTACAATGTAAAAAAATAATTTTCATGGAATCTGGTCAAGTGAAATTAACTTAAATAAACCTTTAATTTGATATAATTTTGTGCTATGCTGTGGGCTCTTGCTGAATGAAGCTAGGACATCCACTGATGAAGAATGTGAAGAGTGGGAGAAGAGGGTTGCATTGACAATCCAACACAATGGGCAGCACATTGAACACATTTTATAAGTGGTCAGAAACTTGTAAATAATTCATAAAAGAATAAAGTTACGTTAAAACCAAGCACACCATTGTTTTTCTTGTGACATTACCAATAAGTTTAATGTGTTACATGGTCCTCTTCCTATTGAAAAAACAAAAGTTGTATCCAAGATGGCCGACTTCTAAATGGCCACCATGGTCACCACCCATCTTGAGGAGTTTGCCCCCTCACATATACTAATGTGCCACAAACAGGACTTTAATATCACCAACCATTCACATGTTATTACGGTGTATCCACATAAATGGCCCACCCATTTATGCTGTTTAATTCTTGACATTGTGTACCACATCACTTAACTTGAAATAAAAAAAAACCCAAAACTTTATCAACTGTAATCTTTTTCACTGAGCTTTAATTCAAGTCTTAAAAGTAAGATTTAGCATCATGCTAGTAGTGGTATCCAAGAACTTGTGTAAGGTTCACACTAATGCCTTCATACTCTCCCATACTGAGATTTATGAACCTCAGCTCTAACTGTTCACCTGAGGCACTGAACCAGATTGTTGGACACATCCCATCCAGCTGCGTCTTCTGGCCTCAGGTGGGAGCTTGTCCTTGTTCGCTGTCCTAGGTGCTGAACAGGAAGCAGGAGGGCTGAATATCTCTCCAGGATCTGAACTCGTGCCAGTGCCCAGGGATCAGTAAAGCTCTCCATGCACTGTCACGGAGGACCTCAATTTGTCAGTGTGATGGTTAGTCTCTTAAAACCCACTGGAATTGTTATACAACTGCATCACTGGGGACTTTCTGCACATACCTCTTCAATATGCTGAGTCACAGTTGCAAATATACAAAAACAAGATGTATCTGTGTATTTTTTGTCAGACTGGCACACAAAGCCAGACGCCGGCAGACACAACGTACTGTAGAGCAGACATGAGCGCCATTCTTGCTGATTGCTGTTAGTTTCATCAGAATTACTTTGGGTGTTTGGTTTCATCAGTACATCTCTCACGGGTGTGCATTTGTGTGTGCTCGAAACAGCTAGCTGAGAGAAAAATCAAATGAGATCACAAAGTAATAATGGAAAATCAGGACTAAAGCTGCAACACGCTCACCAGTAAACAAGTAATAAAAAAAAAGGTTTTGGTGTGGGTATATGATCCTGAAAATGTAGTTTGAGATATGCAGAGCACAAGAGTCCTGTCTCTGTTTTCATCACTGTTTGCAGGTGGAGGATAACGGACCAACCGCATTCGCTGGAAGATTTTTCCAGGTACTGTGCTTCCTGTCAAAGCTGTTGAGGTCCCTCATATACACGGAAGGTGGTGTATCCTGCGGTGTCAGTGCGTCGACACCACAGTGAGATGGGTCTGTCACTCTCAGCTTGTCACATATGATCACACAAAGGATCCGTTTAATTTTTGAATTCTGAAGATAGGGGTCATTTTTAACACACAACACTAATGCAGAATGGCACTGACACAAAACATGATCTTCTCAAGACATGACTAAAAAGTCTCTTGACGTGTCTTGGGATGAGAATGAATTAGATCTAGAGGCAGTAGCAAAGCTTGTGCTGTAACACTACTACTACTATTACTACTAACATAACTTTATAAGAGGCCAGCTAACCAGTGCCCCCAAACTGCACCTGATAGGATACATACTTGAATATTTATTATCCTGAGTTCAAACTGTGTTTCTGTCATTGTGGAAAATGGAGAAAAACCCCAGAATGATCCCATAAAGCCAAATGTTATTCACAATGGAACATAGAAAACATTGGAAATATTTAAACTGACAAAGTGTACCATTATAAGAAAAAAAAA